GAAGAATACGCAATGAAAATGAAATAAAAAATAGCTCAAGTGATACTAAAGTGATATCCTGCCACGTTTCACCAGTGGTGGTTGTTGAAATGTTACGTGTGACGTCATAGCGGTCAGTTGTAGTGTTAAATATTGTGACGTCATAATAATCAATTGCACTGTTATAGATTGTGATGCTATACTGGTCAGTTGTACCATTATATATTGTGACATTATGCATTGTAATAAATTGTGATGCCAAAGTGGTCAGCTGTTCTCTTATAAAGTGTGACGTCATAGCAATCAGCTGTATTTTTTAAAAAATATGATATCATAGAAACCAGTCGTACTTTTATGTTTGCCTATCTAGTGGTCAGTTGAGATGTAATGGGTGATGTTATTTAGGTCAAGTCAACAGATGTATTGCGTAACTGGGGTTAGTTGTCAAGTTATTAAATGTCATGTTATTAACTTCAGTATTCACGTAGGTTTTTTTTAATCACGTATTGTACAGTGATGATTCATCTCAAGACTCGGTTACATCATTTCTTTGTGCTTAAAATCAATACTTGAAGAAATTTTTTTTTTTTTTAAATTGTGATTATTTTTAAAATTAATTAATTTTCACTAAAAAAAACATTTTTTAAATAAAGCATTTAAAAAAAATGATCCTAGAATCTATACCAGCTGATAGGGGCAACATTTCTTCGTTTTGTGTTGGAATAATTAATTAAAAATTATTGTACTTTAATTAATTTTATTTTGTTGGTTTCAGCCTTCCGATGTTTCCCCTTCATCAGTGTGTCACTGTGTAGATACTCGGACGGTTAAAACTATGTGGTACACATGTGTAGAGCTTCAACTAAGCTTGTTCAATTATCTAGATTAACTCATACAAAGGTCATCATAAGATCACTTATAGGTCAACATCAGCTACATGAAAGGTCAGCATCAGATCACTGAAAGGTCAACATTAGCTGGTCAACATCAGCTAATGAAAGGTCAAGTTCACCTCACTGAAAGGTCAACATTAGCTGGTCAACATCAGCAAAACAAAAGGTCATGATAACCTCACTGAAAGGTCAAGATGATCTCACAGAAAGGTCAACATTAGCTCACTTATAGGGCAACATTAGCTCACTTATAAGGCAACATTAGCTCACTTATAGGGCAACATTAGCTCACTTATAGGGCAACATCAGCTAACTGAAATGTTAACATAAGATCACAAAAATGTTAACATCAGATCACTGGAAGGTCAAGATCAGCCAACTGAAAATGTTAACATCAGCCAACTCAATACTATTCATATGTGTCGCTGAATTTCTCACAAGCTTTAAAATGTACGAGAATAGTCAACAAACCAACAACGCAATCACATTATGAACTCTGTCACTTTACGCATGCGCAGACACGAAAAGACCAAATCCAACAGTTTTTTTTAAAAAAGGTCCCCTAATGCGTAAAACGGGATAAAGTTGCATTACCGTTAATGTTCTTTTTATTTGCCCCAAAAAACCATTTAACTTGAGCTAAGAGCTTGTGAAAGTGCTATAGTGTTGTTCTAGCACCATCACACGGAATAATAAGTCTAGCACCATCACACGGAATAATTAGTCTAGCACCATCACACGGAATAATTAGTCTAACACCATCACACGGAATAATTAGTCTAGCACCATCACACGGAATAATTAGTCTAGCACCATCACACGGAATAATAAGTCTAGCACAATCACACAGAATAATTAGTCTAGCACCATCACACGGAATAATTAGTCTAGCACCATCACACGGAATAATTAGTGTAGCACCATCACACGGAATAATTAGCACCATCACACGGAATAATTAGTCTAGCACCATCACACAGAATAATTAGTCTAGCACCATCACACGGAATAATTAGCACCATCACACGGAATAATTAGTCTAGCACCATCACACAGAATAATTAGTCTAGCACCATCACACGGAATAACTAGTCTAGCACCATCACACAGAATAATTAGTCTAGCACCATCACACGTAATAATTAGTCTAGCACCATCACACGTAATAATTAGTCTAGCACCATCACACAGAATAATTAGTCTATACTCTAGCACCATAACACGGAATAATTAGTCTAGCACCATCACAAGGAATAATTGGTCTAGCACCATCACACGGAATAATTGGCCAAGCACCATCACACGGAATAATTAGTCTAGCACCATCACACGGAATAATTTGTCTAGCACCATCACACGGAATAATTAGTCTAGCACCATCACACGGAATAATTAGCACCATCGCACGGAATAACTAGTCTAGCACTATCAAACGGAATAATTAGTCTAGCACCATAACACGGAATAATTAGTCTAGCACCATCACACGGAATAATTAATCTAGCACCATCACACGGAATAATTAGTCTAGCACAATCACACGGAATAATTGGTTTGGCACTATCAAACGGAATAATTGGTCTATCACTATCATAGTATGTTGGATTGTCTAGAACTGTATTTAAATGAGCCAACTAAACTTTGGCCTTGTGTTGTGTATTCACGCTACTTCAAACATATTTCATGCCATAGATCACAAGTTGTAGGTCGCTACTTAGGCGTTTGTGTTGGCATCAACAGAAATAGGTTTGTGTATTGATGAGTTCTTTTGTTGTGGTAAATGGTAAATGGTAAGTGGTAACTGGTAAGTAGTGAGAGTAACTGGCGGTTGGTGAGTGGTAAATAGTAAGTAATAAGTGCTCAGTGGTAAGTGTTATTATGGATGTGAAGTCAATGCCGACTCCAGGGCCATTACATAAAACATGAGCCATTTTTTTCTCCAGTCTCCTACAATTTATGGCTCCCCCCCCCCCTCCCAAACAAATTGCGTCACTTTATGGCCGTTAACTCTATGAAATTTCTCCACCCTGATTCATTGATATTGATAAATTATAAACAACAAAACAATATCTGTGTATAGATAGATACACACGCACGGCCGTCTTATCCATTCGACACACTAAGCACTGTGCATACGGCCTAAACACTTTTAAGGTCTGAAAACGAATTATTAGAAAAGTAATAAAAACAATTTGACGTTTTCCATTTAAGAAATGAGATTACCCCCCCCCCCCCCCCCCGCTGAAACGCAACCACCACGTAAGCTATTGCGATATAAACCTTAGATCTGGAGTACAGGACACGGCCACAGTTGCCAGTGGAGCCTAGGGATACAAAAAGTGCATAGGGTCTACGAAGACCTTAACAAACGTCCCTGTATGTGTGCTCTTGGTAGCACGTGTGTAGATACACATGGTAGTCATAGTTACAGGCTGATAATATCAATGAGATAGTGTAATATAATGTATTTGTAGATGTAAGTGGAGATTTAGATTTTATTATCAGTATGGTTTTAAGTATATATGTCGTTATAGGCAAAGGGTGATTCGTCTAAAGGGGCCTTAAGGGTCTGGCCTCACCCGTGTTTATAGACACCAGCCGCATAAAGGTGTAGGGTTAGTTCGAAATTTTTTATGGTTGGTTAAAAATTGCAAACACGAATTATCAGACTTTAGGGATCTATACCAGAATTTTAAATGAGTCAAATACACTCGCCAGCCATTGACAATACCACACTACAACAACATCAACTACAAGCAAAGGACGAACTAATCATGAAAAAAAAAAGAGTAACTAGTCTCAAAATTGCAATTGTCGTGAGATTGAAACTGCTTTTCAGATCGATTTTTTACAAAGAGACCATCAACACAAACGCTGTTTTCGAAAGTCAGAGCACCTCGTTGATAACATGTAAGTATCGAGATTAGCTTGAAGTAAATTAGTTCGTATCGTGTCTACCACCTAGCTCTGACGAGGGAACTTCAAACTGGAGTGGCATTGCGCTAATAACAAAAATATATTAGTATGCAGATGTCCCAAACAACAAAAGATAAATTTTATTTCACCTGCATAAGAACTGTCCAATTTGAAAATGTACTCGTCTTTAAAATAAAATAAAAAGGTTTATGCAAAAAAGCCGCATTAAAAATAATTCTCGGCAATGTGATAATAGACATTTTATTTTGGTAAGTTTAGATCTGACAACTTTAGTCTTTTAAATGGTACGTGTTGCTTTCCTACTGTTGTGAGAGTGGAGTTTGGTAACGAACCCGGCATATAGTGGGGGGGGGGGGGGGACCTGGCCGTCGGGATACCGGAAAAATTCCGGAGGGCCTAAAGGAACGGTGCTTTATTATACATGTTTTCTGCTTTGATATTTTAAAAAGTTATTTAAGTAAAAGAAAGATTTTTTCCCTCGGGCTGCTAAGACACAGCCTAGTCCACCCCCACCTACAGACGTGAGCAGCGCACCAAAAGACCACACATGTCAACATCAACTCACTCACAGGACCCACAGTTTGGACATGACTAGACCTGACGTCACATCAATCAACACAAGCGTCACCTGCATCACCGTGATGATTATAGAAACTAATCAAGTTTAATTAGATTCAAGGACTTGGGAGTATTCTTTGTACCTCGTGTAATGCTGTCAACTACCGACATCACAATGGGGTTTACTTTTTTCTATTTCATGAAAGTACTTTATCGTATATATATATATATATATATATATATATATATATATATATATATATATATATATATATATATATATATATATATATATATATATATATATATATATATATATATATATAAATATATATATGTGTGTGTGTGTGTGTGCGTGAATCGCTACACCCTAAATAAGCTATTTGTTGATTCCTTTCCTCCAATCTATGCCACTATGCCAGTAAAACTCTCAAATCAATATCTTCTAGAAATTCACCAATGGAACAGCCTTCAATTTTAATTAACCCATATCATAAGTACGTTAAATTATGATTACGGTAACAAAAATAGTGTTACCATTTATGTAGTCATGCAACTCTAACCCTGTATGACAGTGTATGACAAATGAAGTTTTAGTAACACAAGATTTAAACACAAAACAAATCCACTCACCCATATTGATAAATCCAATGAAAAAGGCGAAGATGAAAATGAAGAAAATAACGGGAATATCACTGACGACTGCTGCCATTATGCCCACTACCTCATGGCATCCCAGTGAGGAAATGTGCCCTTCTCATAGTCGACCTTCACCTTGTGTAATTACACAAAAAAACATTACATCATATCCCTGATGTAAGTTGATATACAGGTGATCACAGAAATCTAGAAATCACAACCTTTACTCAGAGCTAAAATAAAACAACTGCTTATGAGTATCGTAACCAGTTGGATCACTTTACTTTTATATGCTTTTAACACAAACTAGCAAAACCAATGGACATCGTATGGTTCTACCCCGAATGAAACGATCAAAGTGGTTGATGAAACTAATGTGTTTGACGATAATCGAAGAGATTTCTGGAACAATCTTTGTTAATGATTGTAGAGTAAATTAGCACAGCATTGATAAAAAAAAATAATCATCACTTGCGAAGAATGAGAAATGTAGAGATAGAGAAAAAAAACTGATGTAAACTGAAATTTTTTCTTTAGCTTTACGCTTCAGTGATTTTCTTGCCAACGTTGAGGACAGGAGGACGATCAAATCAATCGAAGTCTGTTATCGAACCTCAAAATCATCCGTTTAGCGCTGCTATCCCCCACTGCAGGTTCGCCCTCCCCCCGGGGTGTTATTCCCTGGCCGGGGGCAGACAAGGTATCCCTAATATCCTCGTCAAGTCTGAGAATTATGGGATGGCGGAGCATCTCATGCCTGCTGATTTACGGCATCTCTTTATAAGGAGACACAGATCCCGGTGTTAAAGACGAGAGTTCTTGCCCTTGTTTTCATGTTTATTTCCCTTTTTTTATCCCCGCTCCAAACAAACCTGTGAAAAGAAAAGAAAAAACGTAAACAAATAAATCATCGGAAAATTACGCGGAATGATATTGAGAAAAGAAAAATTGAATATGTGCAGGTGCTTGAATATGTGCAGGTGCTTGAATATGTGCAGGTGCTGGAATATGTGCAGGTGCTGGAATATGTGCAGGTGCTGGAATATGTGCAGGTGCTGGAATATGTGCAGGTGCTGGAAAATGTGCAGGTGCTGGAAAATGTGCAGGTGCTGGGATATGTGTAGGTGCTAAAATATGTGCAGGTGCTGGAATATGTGCAGGTGCTGGAATATGTGTAGGTGCTGGAATATGTGCAGGTGCTGGAATATGTGCAGGTGCTGGGATATGTGTAGGTGCTAAAATATGTGCAGGTGCTGGAATATGTGCAGGTGCTGTAGAAGGTGCAGGAGCTGATCTATTTTAAAGCAAATATTTCTAATCGCATGTGGTATTCACTTCATTAGGAAACATCGGACTGTAAAAAAATATCAATATGGTACTAATTTTACTTTTAATTTAAATAACGACATACTAACATACCAAGATACTAGAGTAAAAAGTAATAAACGTGTATGGTAATCTTCATATTAAAAAAACAAACTTTAACATTCAAAAGAGAAAAAAGAAAAATGAGAAACTTAGCAGCATCATCAATAGCTCTGAACAACTGTATTAAAACTGTTCGTCGGTAAAAGGTACTGATACCCCCCTCCAATAATCAAAGTCTGAGTGTAAAATATGTACATATAACTTGCACTGTAATGTCTGCTAAGACACAGGCTAGCGAGATGGCAGACAATAGAGTATAAAAACATTGGTCTATTCCAGGGGTCGGCAACCTGCGGCTCGCGAGCCGCATGCGGCTCTTTTGATAGCAAGATGCGGCTCTCCAGCTCCTTGCACAAATACTAATAATCTTAATCAAAAATTGAAATATTTTAAATAAAAAAATGTTAGTGGCTCTTTGAAACCAAGGAAATTTTGAAAATTGTAACTTTTGGCTCTTCCGCTTCAAAAGGTTGCCGACCCCTGGTCTATTCTAGCAGGGGTTAAAAACTGAAATTCGCTGCTTTTTTTTTTGTTTTTGTTTTTAAATATTTTTTTTGTTAACCAAATCACTTCTGTCCGTCAGCTGAACCTTTTGTTCATCACGTTCCATGTGAACACGACAAAATGCAAAAGAAAAAAAAAACAACAAAAAAAAAGTCTAATTCTGCATTAGACACTAGCTAATGATTTGGTTTGTTGAGCTGATTTTTTTATCGATTTGAGGACAGATAATTAAAAAAAAAACAGATTACAAAACAGTTTTTATATCAATGAGAATTTTAATTAAAACGTGATTCAGCTGTCACGAACTATGTTTTTGGTCTTTGAGTTTTCCCAAAAACTCATGTTTACTTCCGGTAATTAAACCCTTCTGCACGTGCTATCCTACATTTCTTTTCGCCGTCCAGATAATAATTCGCATTTTTATTGGGCCACAGCTTGTTTGTATCCACGCAATCGTAAACAATTCGCCATGTTTTTTCCCCTTCCCGCCTGCGTGCATTCATCAACACGAAGACGCGCGCGAGATCTCGCGGGATCTGATCCAGCCAATAGCAGGGGACGTCTCTCGATGAGGGGTTAACTTTACTATTAGCCCGAGGCGTTCAAAAGAAAAGAAACTGGTATTTTTGTCTGTCTTTAAAATTCGTACATTTTGAATTCGTTTTCGAAGAAACATTTGTCTTGTAAATGGGCTACATATACGGTAATTTACAACATAAAAAAATATTGTCAAGCTCTAAAATTTCGGACAGGGGAAAAGAAATTAAAGCCGTTTAGAAGCAATCGATTGGCACGTGTTTTGTATTTTTTAGCGGAAGATAAACCATTGAGATTAATTTTTGAAAGAATTACTCGTTCTAAATTCATGATAATTGAAAAGTATGTATATCTTAAGCAACAGAGCGAGAGAGAGAGAAAGAGAGAGACTTAGAGAGAGAGAGAGAGAGAGAGAGAGAGAGTAGAGAGCAGTGTTTCTTCCAGACATTTTTCTCCGGGGGGGGGGGAACTACAATTTCCCCGGGGGAGGGTGGGGGGCGGACACTGTTAAAAGTATTTATTTTCTATATACATTCCATTTCGTTCGTGGGGCGGTAGAAGACTGTCTTGGGGGGGGGGGGGAGCCCTCCCGAAGAGATGCATGGAAGAAACTCTGGTAGAGAGAGCCAGAGAGAGACATGAGAGCGAGAGAGAGAGAGATGTACATTTACATGCCCAATCAATTGATCGGCGCATATTTCTGATTAATAAAAAAAAACAACATGACAGCTGTTTGCTCCTGGGCTGAACTTCAGGCTTTTAGACTTAACCAGAACTCCAGAAACACAACACACGTCCAGAATTTTCAAACCATTTTCTTCATCTGGTAGGCAGATGAAACATTGCATGTGTCTCCGGCAAAATATTTTTACCGGTGTGTGATGTGTACTATGTATTTCTATAGTAAGGGCTAATAGAAGTGGTTCATGTGGGAAGGGGGGGGGGGGCACTGGATAAAATATATATTTACTTTATAAATTATATATTTTTAAAATTTCATTGGGGGGGGGGAAGGGAGCGGTTGAAATGCTTTGGGGTGGGGCTGGGGTGAAGGCGGAACCAAAGGGATGCCTGAAAGAAATTCTGGCTAGGGGATTGGGGTATAATACCATAAGCGTAGCGGGGGGGGGGACACCAAGGCAAAAAAGATCACAATATATACGACATAAGCCTATATTTACGACAGAGTACGCAATCTACTTTACGTGGTGTGGTTATTTTTTTCATCTCGTATGACATTAGCGTTGTAAGCTAAACATAGCCAGACTGTAAAGTGAGAACGTGTAAAAGTTGTAATGTAAAACGACAAACCAAATTATTTGACTTGAGAAAAATTTGAAAACTTGCTATTAAGAAATGTGTCAAATTATTGTTTATTGGGTAATGCAGCTCAGATGATTACTTGAAATGTCAATCTTATTATTAGCCAAAATATGCATAAAAATAAATTTTATTTAATAAATAATATCAACGCATTCAACTTTTTAAAAATAGCTTTGTTTTTTAATTAATTATTTTTTTTAAAGTTGCTATTATTATTTTTGAAATTCAGATTTAAATATATTTTTTTAATCATATTTTTATTTTTACAGTTTCCTGGCTCTGAATAAATAAATACGTTTTTATGCAATAGATATATTCATCTTTCATTTAATTGCATATTAATATTTGATATATTACTTGATGGAATGAAAAACACGGCAATTAGCATCGAATTTCAACAAACGGTCAACTCATCAGAAGGATTTTGTGGATTCTTCCAATTATTTTCTATAAGTGATGTCTTAAAACAATATCAATCGAGGATCAAAATAAATTGTTTTAAATAATCATACATAACTAAAAAAACCAGATGTTGTTTTTCAAATTTGAGATCAAAAGGTGTTTACAGAGAAACTCTGAGCATCTATGCAGATGTTGTGAATGACCGCAGGGTCTGAAAAAAAAAAAGTGTCTGATGATCCCTGGGTCAGGTGAAGTAGAGTTCACCTATTTCTGTGAACCTCGGTACATGAAGTGAAACTGTGGTCAGCACTATACCCAGGCGCCACTACTTTCCATAACGTAAGATAGGCGGACTCAACGAACATTGTACTGACTCAAACCTGTAGTTCAAACTCACGACTTTCGGGTTAGCTGGCCTATTCTTTATCACCCGACCACGCCGTTCTACCTGAAAATGAACCCCAACCCAAAAATATATTGGTCTTAATTTTGTATATCAAGTTATCAATTAAAAGTACAGCACTTTAAGACGAGAGTAACAAGGCCAGGCAATATTTCCGGGGGAGATATATTTGTTTTGTCTATTTCTGGACATCATTAAAACTTTGCCGTAACAAGAAACTGGATCTTGAAATGTGGCTGAGATATTTCTAGACAAAAACTTTCCGCTTTAATGGTGAATTTGACGTTAGAGGATGTCTCGTTAAGTTTTCTCAGAGAAATCTTGGACGCTATAAGAAGTATATGCATACACCCATATATATATATATATATATATATATATATATATATATATATATATATATATATATATATATATATATATATATATATATATATATATATATATATATATATATATATATATATATATATTATATATATATATATATATATGTATATATATATAAATATATATATATATGCATATATATATATATATATATATATATATATATATATATATATGGGTATATGCATATACCCATATATATATATATATATATATATATATATATATATATATATATATATATATATATATATATATATATATGTGTGTGTGTGTGTGTGTGTGTGTGTGTTTATTAAA